CCCAAGTAATTTTCTCTAGCATGGACAGAAAGCACAAGATTATTTCTCCTTTTTGTTTTGACTCATATGATTACGTAATTATCATTTAACTAAGAAATGAAAATATTTTAGTGACTAAAAAGATTCATTGCACATATGCATTTATTTTACTGTATAGAAAAAAAAAACCCGATGTAGAAAAATGTTTCTAAGCCATAAGAACGCAAATATTTTTGCTCCAAAATATCTTACCAAAAGGTCATGGCATAGAGAAATTCCCCCTTTTCTATAGGTGTTTGTTTCTCTTGAATGAGCTTTACTTCAGTGTTTTATTTGGGCACATATAGGGAAAGAAAAAAAAGTCATGTTCAAGTTGAGGAATAGAGGAGTTTAGATGAAGAGAAGCAGATTCTGGCACATGAAGTTGAACAATGCAAAGCATTAAAGCCCAGCTATACATAATCAAGCTGGCCAAGATATAATACACATTAAAATAAAATAAATTTTTTTCTCAAAGAACGAAATTGGAACTAAGTATGTGTGACTGTTTTAGAGATAAGCACTTCTCAACTTCTAATGTAAAAAGAGAAGCTGGTGTTTATGTGAAGAATCTGTGTAAAAGCCATATGGAACTGTCTCTAGTAAATAACCATTTAATCAAATGTCACTATGTTTTTTAATGTTTTGTAGTTTGATACAGAGAATGTACTTTTATTTCTTCAACAGCTGCTCTTTTTAAATGCATGCAGCTGTACTACAGATTTAATTTGCAACAATTTCTTAATTTTTAGTTGGTTGCTTCTACTCTTTCAAATCAATGTTTCATGTTTCTTTGGAAAGACTTTTTTTCCTAGAAAGTGCAAAGTACGACGTGAAGTAGGAATTAGGCAAATAAAAGTTTCTGCTTGATTTTTTTTAAAACATAAAAGTGATAGTTTCTCTCTTTATAGCACTGCTTTTCCTAGACATCCTTTTTTTCAGACAACATTTGCAAAGAGATTTGAGGACTACACATCAGTCTTCTCAAAACTTCTAAAAGACTGGAAGCTATGACGAATTCTGACAAGTGACTTGAAAATGAGAAAAAAAAATCACACTCTTTCATTTAAAATGCTCTCTGCTTTGAGAGTAACCCAGTACCAAGTATATGTTGCATGAATTAGCACTTTGACTTTTTAATAGAGATACTTTTATCTTTGATACATTTTATTTAATTGTAAAACATATGTCACTTCCCTATCTCCTTATATTACTCTGTTTCTACTGTAATGCTTAGAGATCTGCTTTCTAATTTAATTGCTATGGAGAAATCATCTTGCTACATAGCTTCAGATTAAGTCTTTTTTAAATTCAAGGAAAAATTTGGAGGAAAAGGTAAATATTAATGATGGATTATATGATATTCTAATCTCAACATCTTTGAGTGTAGATGTATAGACATTTAAAATGTGATTTAAAAAATGTGTAATGCTTTTAATTTTCCTCATGTAAGACTTGTCTATAGGGCTCTGCATGTGTGAGCTGCATGGAGCCTCCCAGCCTGCTGGTGCGTGTGCGAGCAGGCTGCATGGAGCCTCCCAGCCTGCTGGTGCGTGTGCGAGCAGGCTGCATGGAGCCTCCCAGCCTGCTGGTGCGTGTGCGAGCAGGCTGCATGGAACTTCCCAGCTTGCTGGTTCCTTTACTCCTCCTGTACCCAACTGACTCATAGCTTAGTGAACAATTTTTGTTGTTGTTGTTGTTTCTTTAAATTATACCTTCTTTCTGGAATATTTTCAATAATCTCTTTGTATGTATATCAGAATATTTTTAGCTGTTACTGAGGAACTTCATTTCTTTGTATAGTAGGTCATGCAGTCAGAATTCTGTAATAACTCTGTTTGTGTCTTCCCTTTCCAACGTAGTCCTTCTGAATTAAACAAATAGTTACAATTTCCTTGAGATTTTTATCTCTTAAAAGGATGTTATGTTTAATGGTAGAGGTATAGTATGTAATTCAGTAGTAGTCGGTTTGATTTTTATATAAGGTTTTTCTTTAATATTTTATTGCTTATTAGATAAAGCCCACTTATAATAAACAGGTGTAATCAGTGTTCTCTGATATCAACATATCTTTTTGTATAATTTATAATCTCTTTGTATAAGGGAAAATGTGATTTTTGGCTTATCTCTGATTTCTGAAGGAGAGGGTTTTCTCTGTATAACACAATGTACTTATTCTTTTTCACTAACACTACTGTCTATTGATGGCTAGTGAGCCCTCTTAGGTTTAATCAACATTTCAGCAATTTTTCACTTGAATTTTGTTTAATTTGCTTTGTCTTTTACCTTTCGTTCTTTATTACCTTATCTCATTTGATTTTTATACTTAAGATAAAACGTATTTTGAAATGTCCTCAAAATTTGAAAGTATGGCTTTAAAGTGTGAAATAACTGATGTTAAGGGAACAGCACTAATAATGGTCACTGGTATATGGATGACAAGAAAGGCCAGTTGTAATTTGTGTTTAAAAAATTACTATATCCTTTTCAAATATTTATTTATTTATTTATGCTCTTTTTTTCTGGTGTGTGTTTGTGTGTTGATGGGTGGTGAGTTTGGAGGAGAAATGACTCTTGAGAAATATCTTGTTCATTCATTACTAATGTGTTTAGAGAATAGCAAAGTTTCAGCATATTTTTTTGAGATCAAAAGTAGCGTTTGAAATTAGACAGTGAAATGCCAAGTTTTTTATTGGTTTCCGGGAGTTGTCACAAAGTACTGCTTAAACAACAGGAATGCATCGTCTCAAGTTCCAGAGTCTGGCAGTCAAAGAGCAAGGTGTCAGCAGGTTGGTTCTTTCTGTCGCTGTGAGGGGAGATCTACTTTGTGCCTCTCCTCTAGCTTTTGGGGATTCAAGCATTTGTTGGCTTGTAACGGCATTCTTCCCATGCTTTCTTTTTATATGTCTGTCTCTGAGTCCATTATTTCTTTTTGACAAAGACATAGACATATTGGAATGGAACCTGGCCTAATGGCTCCAACTTGATCATCAGCAATGACCCTATTTTCAAATAAGGTCATGCTTATTAGCCCTGGGGATCAGGACTGCAGTTTCCTTTTTGGGAGGACACAAATCAACCCATAAAAATTCTGAAGCTTTGTTTTTGATTAGTCTTAAAAAGTTTTTTATTAGTCTTAATAAGTTTTCAGAGTACTTTTTATTTCTGTTCTCAGTGCTTAGAATAAGACAATAAAATATTATTTACTCAACCATATTGGCTTATTTAGTAAGAAGATGGACTGAGATTTTATAATGAACTCTGTGCTGATATTGACATAAAAACAAGCAAATTTAAAGAATTTTCCTATCTATATTTACATGAAATCAATGTCCTTTTAGCCTTCTGACATTTACTTACCTTTTTGTATTTATAGAATTAATTTTACTTTTAAGTATTATTACTATCTTTAATGCATTTGTGCTTTTTAAATATGACAGGCTATGCAGTGCAAAGATTTTTTTTTCCTTTGGATTAGCGGAAGATAAAACTGTATATCCAATAATTGAGATGAGTTCTTTGGAACAATTGTGGCCTGACCAACCAGATTGAGAACCTTACCTTGCTAATATTTGGAGGACACAGCTTGAAGTTTAATGTTTTCGTGTTTCTCCAAATAAAATTGAAGGGATAGTTGCTCATCTAGAACACATGTATAAATTCTTATTTTGGCCTGATAGACCTTTAAAAATATATTATCTTGACATTTATATCGATAGAGCATATGTTAGTCTGTTTTCACACTGCTATAAAGAACTGCCTGAGAGTGAGTAATTTCTAAAGGAAGGAATTTTAATTGGCTCACAGTTCTGCCTGGCTGGGGAGGCCTCAGGAAACTTACAATCATGGCAGAAGGCCCTTTCTTCACCAGGTGGCAGGAAGGAGAATGAACGCAGGAGGAACTGCCTAAAACGTATAAAACCATCAGATCGGCCGGGCGCGGTGGCTCACGCCTGTAATCCCAGCACTTTGGGAGGCCGAGGCGGGTGGATCACGAGGTCAAGAGATCGAAACCATCCTGGTCAACATGGTGAAACCCCATCGCTACTAAAAATACAAAAAATTAGCTGGGCACGGTGGTGCGTACCTGTAATCCCAGCTACTCAGGAGGCTGAGGCAGGAGAATTGCCTGAACCCAGGAGGCGGAGGTTGCAGTGAGCCGAGATAGCGCCATTGCACTCCAGCCTGGGTAACAAGAGCGAAACTGTCTCAAAAAAAAAAACATCAGATCTTGTGAGAAGTCACTATCATGAGAATGGCTTAGGGAAAACCCTCCTCGTGATTTGATTACATCCAGTTGATGTCTCTCTTGACACATGGGCAATATGGGTTTTACAGTTCTAGATGAGATTTGAGTGGGGACACAGTCAACCCGTATCAGAGTGATACATTCATTAAGATTAACAATCTTACTTCCCACAGTGTATGTTCCTCCTGTTTTTAAAAAGCAAAATATGGATGTGGTGATGTAGAAACTGGCTGCTTCGAAGTGGTTCACCTAATCACAGATTTATGCTTGTTTGTTTTTTGAGACAGAGTCTTGCTCTGCCATCCATGCTGGAGCGCAGTGGTGCAATCTCAGTCTACTGCAACCCCTGCCTACAGGGTTCAAGTGATTCTCATGCCTCAGCCTCCCTGGTAGCTGGGATTACAGGCATGTGCCACCATATCTGGCTAATTTTTGTACTTTTAGTAGAGATGGGGTTTCACTATGTTGACCAGGCTGGTATCCAGTGCCTGGCCTCTAGTGATCTGCCTGCCTCAGCCTCCCAAAGTGTTGGGATTACAGGCATGAATCACTATGCTTGGCCTAATCACAGATATTAAAATCACGTTTGAGAGCTAGAGGTAAGTGTAGATACTTTGAAAGAATTACTTTACTTTTTTCATATTTTTTAAAGCTTTTTTTTTCTAATTATTGAAGTAATCCATGCTTACTGAACAAATTTTAAAAAACAATGTGAAGAAAAGTACTTAAAATCCAAGCATAATATAATATTAAATTTGATTCGTATATATGTCTATCTGTGAGTGTGTGTACATATGCCTATGTGTAGAGCTAAAGAATAATTTAAAAAATAAATTATGACATAAATATGAATGAATGCATGCCAAAGAGTCTTTTTAACTGGTTAATGAATGAGGGAACCAGTAAGATACTACATCTTATTCAAATGAGAAGTTAAAGTATCACACACATCTAAAGTCAGAAAAGAAGTGCTGAAATAAATTCACAAAAAGATGGAGAAGGCAGGGCATGGTGAGTCATGCCTGTAATCCCAGCACTTTGGGAGGCTGCGGCAGGCAGATCACTTGAGGTCAGGAGTTTGAGACAAGACTGGTCAACATGGTGAAACCTCGTCTCTATTTAAACTACAAAAAAAAAAAAATAGCGAGGTGTGGTGGCAGACATCTGTAATTCCACCTACTCGGGAAGCTGTTGTGGAAGAATGGCTTGAACCCAGGAGGCAGAAGTTGCAGTGTGACAAACTGAGATTTGGTCTCTTAAAAAAAAAAAGACGCAAAAGTGGTCAATTTCCACAAGGTAGCAATCAATTGTGTTCCATTGGGCACAGGATCCATTTCTATTTCTGTCATTTTTTCTGACAGTAAATGAGATTGTTTTCAGTCTCTATTTTTTCAGAGTTGTAAAATGGCTCAAAGACAATAAAAGGCAGAGACACACATGAGCTACTCAGGGCACCTACTAATTTATCTTGTTTTTTCTTTTTGCCCATTTTGAAGTCTTTCTCAATTTTTTAATATAGCTCATATTTACATTTATTTTCATCAATTGCAATTATGTTTTTTTTTTTGCTTTTTCACCTAAAACAAACATGATTGAAAATAAAAGCATAATGCATATTTCTTCCTATTGACATTGACACCACCTATATAGCATTACTCAGGAGCGTTATGAAATACACGACACTTAAAAACAAACAAAAATATCCCTTCTTTGAGCTCTTTACTCTTGGGAGGGTACACTATATTATCCTTTTCACTTTCTTCCTCCCAGTAAACCTCTCTCTCATGCACTCTACCGACATTCCCACCAAATCCCTCCTTACCCTTTCAAAATCAGTCCTATCCTGATTCTGGAGTTTGGGGTTTTCTGTGAATCAGTTGATGATACCAGTCACACCATTTGAAAAAAGGCATGTGAGAATGTGGTTCTGTACTGGTGAACAGGAATTCTTAACATTTATTTTTAAGGATTGTATTTAATTGCTAATTATAGAGCTTTGTTAAATTAAGCTTTCACTCACGTTTGAAAAATTCATCTTTGTTTTGTTTTTCATGAGGCAAATATCTCTCTTTAAGTGAACAAGCTTTTAAAAGAATTAGTTTCTGGCCGAGCGCGGTGGCTCAAGCCTGTAATCCCAGGACTTTGGGAGCCCAAGGTGGGTGGATCACAAGGTCAAGAGATCAAGACCATCCTGGTCAACATGGTGAAACCCCGTCTCTACTAAAAATACAAAAACTTAGCTGGGCATGGTGGCGTGTGCCTGTAATCTCAGCTACTCAGGAGGCTGAGGCAGGAGAATTGCCTGAATCCAGGAGGCGGAGGTTGTGGTGAGCCAAGATCACGCCATTGCACTCCAGCCTGGGTAACAAGAGCGAAACTCCGTCTCAAAAAAAAAAAAGAATTAGCTTCTTCAGTATGAAAAGCAAATTGCAATTCACAGCCAGTGCAATGGTTTACACCAGTGTGCAGCCCCAGCACTATGGGAGGCCATCGCTGGAGAATCCCTTGAGCTCAGGAGTTCAAGCTCAGCCCTGGCAACATTATGAGAGACATCTTAACAACAACAACAACAACAACAAATAATTACCTCAGCCTCTCCAGTGGCTTGGGACTTCAGCTACATGTGGTGGCTTGTACCTGAAGTCCCAGGTACTCGAGATGCTGAATAGAGGGATTGCTCAAGCCTGGGTGGTCGAAGCTGTGGTGAGCTATAATTGCACCACGATACTGCAATCTGGGCGAGAGTGAGTCCCTCTCTCAAAAAAAAAAAAAAAGAAAAGAAAAAGCAATATGCATAATCACATCATTATGCCAGAAGTGTCCAGGTTCAAAGTGACATTTTATATTTTAGTAAATACTTTTCACTAACAGTTCTTTAGGAATAAACGGATAATTCTTCTGGAATAAATAAACTGAGAATCATCAAAGATTTTGCAGAATACCACACTCTGAATCTGAATATGGCTGTGTAAGTGTTTTCAGTTTACAGATAAGTATAGATTTTTGCAGTTACTTTCTCTTAATCGTTTCTTTCCTTCACTAAGGGTTTTCTATTTTATTTTCGTTCGCATGCATGGACAAGAGAAGGGATGCATTTTGTTGATCCTAGAGATTAATACAGAAAATGCCTCATGAAGACTGAGTCTGGCTGTGATTTACATAGTTGGAGCAACATAGCCAGTGAGTCTTTCGGGCAGCCCTGACAGCAGAAGCAAGCCTTGAGCTGGGCATGAAAAATGACACAGGCTTCCTTATACCAGAGTCTTATGACCATTTTGATTTCAAAAACTGTGTTGGGTGTCAGTAAACTACCGTAACCAGAAAAATTAGATTAAAATGACTATTTCTTTTGTTCTGTGTATATTTCATATATGGAAGGATGAAAAGTCAGTACATGGCTATCAGTCTCTACAGAGGAAGGGTAACAATTTGTGCCCAGGTATATTAATGCCTAACTGAACTGTTTTACATATGTGATTATAAGATACGTCATTTACTTAAGATGTATGGTTAATCGCCTTTCTTGCCTCACCTACAAACTAAATGGCTTTATTCCAGCAAAATTAAGTCTGAAAATAATGTTCACTGATTTAGATGTTGATGACAGATGGGTCTTAGGTCAGGAAAGCAGCAATGGCTGGGAGACACTGATTGTTAGCATTTATGCTCTGATAATGAATGACCTGAATTTTTCTCACATGTTTGCTCGGGAAGCACAGGGCTGTGGAGGTCTTGACGTCATAGAAGCAGAAGGATTTGGGGCCAGAGTATATTCACTGCTGGCAGTCATTCATTAGTAAATCCTTAGTAAGAGAGTTGAATTTGAGTGACATCTGGAGGCTTTCTATACCCAGAGGTGGGGGAATTCTGGGTTTGTTTTTTTTTTTTTTTCTGGTAAGCTAGATTCATCTTTTAAAAAATGCCACATATATAATTGATGGGTTTAATATTTCAGATTGAGAGGAGGTGAAAGATTGAAAGAACCGAAGAAAGATTGAGTTTTTATGATTCTTTCCCCTGAATGAATTTGGTTAATTTAATGTTAGGTGCTAATATAAAACATTGCTTGAGCCATGTAGTGTCGGGAATACATATCTGTTACTAGTTCTTGTTTGCTGTTTAAAAATGGAGATTGAAATTTCTTTTACCTAGCAAGAAAATTATAGCAGTGATCCTTGAATATTTAGAAAAAACACATATGGCCTGGTGTGGTGGCTCACGCCTGTAATCCCAGCACTTTGGGAGGCCGAGGTGGGTGGATCACGAGTTCAAGAGATCGAGACCATCCTGGTCAACATGGTGAAACCCCATCTCTACTAAAAATGCAAAAAATTAGCTGGGCATGGTGGCACGTGCCTGTAATCCCAGCTACTCGGGAGGCTGAGGCAGGAGAATTGCCTGAACCCAGGAGGCGGAGGTTGCGGTGAGCCGAGATTATGCCATTGCACTCCAGCCTGGGTAACAAGAGCGAAACTCCATCTCAAAAAAAAAAAGAAAGAAAGAAAAAACACATACATTCCAAAGTATCTAGTGATGAGGCAAAATTGTTCATATCGAATTCCATTTCCAGCTGAAGGCCATTTCTGGAAGAAACTTGTAATACTGGAGAAGCTGCATGAGCGTGTCGTGTTTGCTGCATGGAAAGGAGGACACGAGTTTCTCAGCACTGTGGCCAAGCAGAGCGACGGTTGAGGTTAGGGTAGCAGTCATGAGGCCGAGATGCAACTTAGACTCCAGTCCCTATAAAATGTACCTGATACAATTTAGCGATTTGATGAAATGTGAAGCCAATTTACTGTATTGAACATCAGTAGTGTCCCAAAAGAAGACCATAAAATTCTGGTGGTGAAGATCTGTTGTTTAAATAGTAAAAGTATAATGTTAACCATTTCCTTTGGTGGTTCTCATCCCATCAGAAGAGCTAGATCCTATTAGCACTCTGGCACTTTATTAAAATAGGAGAAACAGTAATTTAATGAACCTTTAGGCCAGAGGTGGTGTCTCATCCCTGTGACTTCAGTTATTCGGGAGGCCTAGGATCACGTGAGGCTGGGGAGTTGGAGACCAGTCTGGGCAACCGAGTGAGATGCTGTCTGTACCAAATATAGAAATTAGCCCATTATGGTGGCGTGTAACTGTCCTAGTCACTCAGGAGGGTGAGGTGGGGGACCACTTGAGCACAGGAATTTGAGGCCCACTGCGTTCCAGCCTGGGAAACAGTGAGCCTGACTCAAGAACAATCCTTCAATACTTACCCATTCAAGAATTTTTCTTTTCAGTCCAAGAGTATCAAGATGTTACCGACACAGCACTTTCCCATCAAAATGGCATCTTTGCCTATTTGGTGCTGCAAAACCAATACCAAAACTGAGTGAACATCTAGCAGGGCAGGCTGTATTCGATGGCGTGGAACTGAGGAGAAGAGAGCTGGAAAGTCACAGAAACAAGCAACTCTAATGAAAGGGATGGGCATTAGAAATAAGGGAGGAACATTCGAGTGTTTTTCTGGGAATGGGTCGAGAACTCCTCAAAACCAGTGCTGCCTTTTTCCCCCTTTTATTATTTCAGTGGGTCGTTGTCATGGTGATTGTCAACTGTCATAGTGCTGTGGGGTGTATCATTTAGCATGAAAATTAGATTATAAGGAAGTTAGAGGGTCTTCGGTGGTCAAGAAAGCTGTCATCTTGGATCCCGCAAGTCTTGGCCAGTTTGGTCACTAGGGGGACTTTTGGCCTCAGGCGTCCTATTTCTGAAGATAAGCAGAGTTGAGGTGGGATAGAAATTCACCTATGTCATGTAGGCCTCATACTGGGTAACAAATCTACAACACATTGTCTAGATCTCCGTGTCAGAGAATGATTATTCATACTTTATGAAAAGACATTGTAGCTAAGATTGTCAAGTGATATTTAACTACAAAGTGGATTGTCTGTTATTCTACAGGAATAATCAAATTTCTTTAAAGTAGTAAGTGTGGTCCATCATCAATGCATTTGTGTTGGATAAATAGATAATAAAATTCAAATGTTGTAGAACTGTAAAACATACAGATTTAAATTCCCTGTTGTAATCTTATTTCCCAGATAAAATTTCTGATGATAATTTAGTACAGTCTGTCTCTCTCTCTCTCTCTCTTTTTTTTTTTTTTTTAGTCAGTCTTGCTGTGTTTACCAGGCTGGAGTGCAGTGGTGTGATCACAGCTCACTCACTGCAACCTGTATCTCTCATGTTGAAGCTATTCTTGTGCCTTAGCCTCCTGAGTAGCTGTGATTACAGGTGTGTGCCACCACATCCGGCCAGTTCTTGTGTTTTTAGTAGATATGGGATTTCACCCTATTGGCCAGGCTGATCTCAAACTCCTTGCCGCAAGTGATCCTCCCACCTTGACCTCTCAAAGTGCTGGGATTACAAATGTGAGCCAGTGAACCTGGCCTAGTGGTCTTTTAATAGACCAGCATAGCGGGGAGGCAGGCAGTATTGAAGAGTGAGTAGTGGCATTGTGCAGCCTTTGTAGCCAGAGTGTCTGGGTTCGAATCCTGTCTCTGCTGTTGTGTGAGTAACAGTCTGGGAAGGAAATAGATGACTCAGAGGTCACTGAAGACTTTGAAGATGGGACTATTATAGACGTATTAAGAAAAGCAACAAAGAATGATGAGGTAACCTAGGTGCCCAAAAAGTGAGAGCTGTTACTGCTAGGACCAAAGGCTTGAGGAGGGGGAGGTTTAACGGAAACCCCGTGAGAGCAGTACCTGCGGGAAAGGGATTATGAACAAGAGCTGTGGCTGTGAGCAGAGATGTGCGGCCACTACTGGATTACAGTGCCGCGCTGAGGGGTGGGGCGGGGCAGGGAGGGGTGCTTACGAATACTCTCACCTCAACCTTTTGCTTCTGTTATTCCGTATTCACTGATGGTTACTCTCATGGGCTGAATCCTGACAAGATCATGGACTCCAGAATCCAGGTGTGGTAATTTGTAAAATCAGGCTCTTTAGGGGAGAGGAGGAGGAAAGAGATGAGCGAGGGTGGGGGGTTGTGGCGAGAATGAAGACTGACAGGAAAATAGCAAAAACACTTGCTTGCTAGCTGTGTTTGCTAGTAAGGCACTTTGTCTCCTAGTAACTCTGTGCTTTATTTTCCTTATTTAAAGAGGAGAATAATAGAACCAATAATATAGGCTTATTGTGAGGGTTAAATGAGTTAATATGTACGAAGTGTGTAGGTGAGTACCACCTGTGTAGAAATTGTCAGCAAATATTGTTAGTAGTATCATTAACATTTGATGGATTAATTTATTTATGAATTAATTTTATATGCACCTTTTAGCTGTTTCTGATTTTTACTTAGCAATGTATCCTGATCGCCTCCTTCTCTCTCTGTGTATGCACATATACATATATGGACAGTCATCCCTCCGTATCTGTGTGTTCTGCCTTTGTGGATTCAACCAGCTGAGAATAGAAAATATTAGAAAAAATAACAATGCAACAATAAAATAAAATAATATAAATAAAAATATAACACAGAGCATTTACAGTATATTATGTATTTTAAGTAATCTGGAGATTATTTAAAGTGTACGAGAGGACGTGTATAGTTTATGTGTTCATACTGTTTATCTATGAGGGTCCTAAAGCTAGTTCCCCTCCGACACCAAGGGCTGACTCTGTGCATATACAGACCAGCAAACACACAGATGTGCCGTACTTCCCTCTGTCTCCACACACTCACACTTACACCCCTTCACAAACTGTCTTCATGGCTTCAGTGTATTCCAATGAATAGGTATACCAGAATACATTCAAACCTTTCGGTTTATAAGGGGATTCAGACCATCTTCGGTGTTTTACCATTATGCACAATGCTCTAGTAACATTTGACCTTTTAACCTCTAATTTTGGATTCGGGTGAAGCAAGGGAGTCTTGACTATTTTGAGTCGTCTAGATTGAGTTTTCTTCAGGCCGCTCTAATGAGAAGGAATGTAACTGAGTGACATTAGTACAAATATTCAAGTGGCTGAAGCCTTTTATTTTTCTTGATCCGAACCCAATTCAATTTTATAGAGGAAGAAAAGGTTTATAGAGTTTTTACATGACCTTTAACTTTACTGAAGAACAACTTTTAAAATATTTCCTTGATGCCACTGTATGCCCTACACTTAGAGTTCATAGTGTTTATGAAAATATTGATAACCATGGAATCCCATTCAGGGCCAACTATTGGAAGTCTTTGACTTAATTGTAATGCCAGAGAAGCATATTCATAGGTGAGTGACTTGAAGCTCATGCTGTATGTACATTTTTAATGGAATAATGTATCTTGTGACTGTTATGTGTCTGTGTGTCTCTGGGTATGTGTGTCTGTGTCTGTGTGTGTGTACAGTTTTGTCCTCAAACTTTCTCCTTACATGACAAATTGTGAAGCAAATCTTCCCTTTCCTATGGAATGCATTTTATCAATTCAAGTCGACCAAGTGTGAATAAAAGTGACATTTATTTGCTACTTTTCTACTTCTGGGCAGAATTGGAGTGGAAATTCATACATGTCATTCTGCACTGAAATATTTAGGACTACTTTGCCCTGTAATAGAAAATTTAGGCTGAAGAAAAAGGTTTCTACCCACTGTTTGCTAAAGGTGATTGAAGATAATTAGAGAAAATAACATTTTAAACAATTTTGCAGTAAATAAATAAAAGCCCTGTGTTTTGGTGGCATTGATGACAATCTGTCCTAAATTCCGTACAACTGTGTTTCATCAGATAAGTTACTTAGCACAAACGTGGTTCATATAAAGACACTGATTCCACATCATTATTTATTTATTTAAACATAGTGTCTGTCTAAAATCTTTCAATTTGGGAATTCTTCCATACGGATAGTGAACAAGAGAACGTCGCATGAATTTTTACATACTCTCATTTGCCCTAAGTCTGCCTGTCTGAAATGTGTCCAGTCGGTGCCTGCTTGGAATTCTGCTGTCCTCCTCCTCTTCCCTCTCTTGCTTTCTTGACTGTTCTTCTTGTGGTCACTGACACATGCTCTGTTAATCTAGGTCTTTAGGCTCTGGCTTGAAGCTTTCTTCTTGGCACCTAGCATGACAGCTAAATAATTAAAATGCTTTCGTTATACCAGATTTTGGATTTCTTTAATTTGTGATCACAGCTCAGTGTTTTCAAAGGTAGAATCATACAAAAAAAAAAAACAATTATTTCTAATTAACCTAAGATAAGTAGTTAATCTTTTCTGGGTCTTCATCATTTTATATATTTTACATAGAACAATGTACTTAATTTTGAATGTTCCTTTTAAAATTTGTCTGTTTCACAAGCATTTTTTTCTGTATTACGTTTTCAAAAACATTTTTAATGGTCGTGTCAATTTTTTCTATGGCTATTACATAACTTTCTCTCTTGTTATACGTTTGTGTGTTTTCTACTTTTCCCTACTACAATTAATCATGACATAAAAAGTTTTGTATAAAAAACTTCAGGTTGCGGAACCTAACTCTTTATGGAATATTCCTAGAACTGAAATTATTAGGCCAAATGGTAGGAATACTTTTAAGCTTTCTGTGTATTTTGTTAGGTTGTACCAATTTACACTCCCATAGCAATGTAGCAGAGCGCCTGGTAACTTTTTAATTGGATTTCTTTGGTAAGAAGCCAAATGGACAACATTTAACTGTTCGTTAAAAAGAGAAGTCTGGGCCGGCGCAGTGGCTCACACCTATAATCCCAACGCTTTGGGAGGCCAAGGCGGGTGGATCATGAGGTCAAGAGATCGAGACCATCCTGGTCAACACGGTGAAACCCCGTCTCTACTAAAAATACAAAAAATTAGCTGGGCACGGTGGCGCGTGCCTGTAATCCCAGCTACTCGGGAGGCTGAGGCAGGAGAATTGCCTGAACCCAGGAGGCGGAGGTTGCGGTGAGCCGAGATCGCGCCATTGCACTCCAGCCTGGGTAACAAGAGCTAAACTCCATCTCAAAAAAAAAGAGAAGTCGGGTGAATTTCTGTTACTGGAATTCTTTAACAAGGAATTCCACATGTTAAAATAAATCATATAATTTGTATTCTCATTGTCATCAGACTATAATAATACTGAATTTGATTCATATTTCCCCCTTTCTGGTACTCATATTGTTAGTACAGATAAGCAGGGGTTACAGAATACCGTGAGAAATGGTGAGAAATGGGAGCTGATTCTGTGCTAGTTAGGAAGGCATGTACTGTTCTGGCCACTCTGTGTTATCCATAAGGAGGGAGGAGATAGATGAGTGCCTCATACTAATTAAGTACTCCGTGTATTTGATGCCTGGCTGCACAAATGAAGTGGTACGGTGATAAACTCACAGAACTGCTATTATTGAAAGGCCAGAGCCATCCTTTGGCATTGTTGTATAGGTGGACAAGCCCCCTTCTACAGATGAAGACATGATTGCCTGTTATGTCACTGTTACCATTATGCTCCTTAGAACTTGTTCAAGAAGCTTTCTGGGTCAGTATGATAGAAGCACCCCACAAACAAACTGACAGTTCTCAGAGCTCTGACATGATAGCCCTGATTCCTGATGTCCTCGTGGACCTGGATACCGCACACCCCTACGCCAACCCCCCAGATTCTCTCTCTACTACCTCGTGGGCCAAAGTCTTTTGAGATCTATACTAAGAATTTATTTTGGCTCTTATCAATGAGTTGCTCATGTTCAGTTGTTGGAATTCATTCAAAATTAAGTGCCTGGCTTCAGGTTTTAAGAAGTACACTTCTTCAGAGTTTGCTTTGCTTTGTTATGTTGGTTAGAAAAGGGACTGGTACTGAACTTTAGCTTCAAGATCTAATGGACATGGGCTTTGTGCTCAAAGAGAAAAGTCTTCAACCACAACTGTGGGATTTTTAAAAGATAGGACGACAAATAAATATATACTATATGAAAGTGACAGAAAGTTGAACAGGCTCCAGAAGAGAATACTTTATCTTACTTTTATGCCCTCGGCAGGGAGAAGAACTAGGGAAATGTAAGAAAAGTTCCACGAGGAAGCCTTGTACTTGAATTCCACTTACCGTATTATCTGAAAATTTAGTGTTATCATGGATGTTTGTTACATGTTAAGGTGGGCACTTATTATATAATGGAAGCTAGATTATTAGATCCTTCTTCTCAAGAAGACTATCAAGTCACTTTGATGAAAACTCCAAGTAGTTGTGCCCTAAAGAGGATGTAATTATTTAGGAAACATTCTCATAACATTTAAACCAAAACAACTTAATGTGATTCTGATACAGCTGATTAAATACTTTGTAGTGTCAACCCCAGAAATATAACTTAATCTCAACTGAAAAATGTATATAACAGATAGTAATTTTTATAATTTATTACAATTGTTGTATGAACTTATAATTTATATTTAAACCATAATTATATATAAACTGATTATTTGAAATGTAGTGAGTTCTTAATAATCTCTTAACTGTATAAAGGGCTCTATTCTAAGAGTCTCCTCTATCTTAATGTTAACAAGATAAAGTCTTGGGCAGATGTTTCTGCTAAAATGTGATATGTGAGTTTTTGAAAAACATAGGTTCTGCAAATTGTGCCCTAAGACAAGCAAACAAACAGAAAACAGGACCATGAGAAAAAAATAACAATTCCAACCAAAAAACTAGTGGCATTAGGCAGAGATGTGAGTACCAACAAATAAATAAATATCTGATACAGTCAATATCAACCTAATCATAGAAAAAGAACAGATGCAGGTGGATTGTTCAAAAGAGATGAAGAGAAGAGTTGGAAGGGCAGCAAATGCAAAATGCGTCCAAATCAGAAAAAGCAAACGTTGGGTATTTTCAGTAGAGACTTTTTGGTCAAACAGAACAAAGAATAACACTGTGGATGTAAATGGGCATTATGGGTTACTCTGTGTACTACTCTTTGCCCTGTTCTGTTCAATTCTGTTCACACTTTATGTTCTCCTGCTGTAACTTGGTGATTAAACATTAACCAGGTGGCAGGGAGTGGGAAGGAACTCATGTAAGTCCGAATATCTTTTGCTATCCGACTGTTTACCAGTTGAGTATGAGCTGATTATGCAGAAACGTGTTCTAGCAGAAGAGACTTAGTAGTGTTATATGGTAGGCCAAAAGAAACACTGGCCAGAAAAATCATCAGACTGTATCCTACTGTTTTTCCATTTATCCATATCAAACATTTTCCACTGTAATATTTGTTATATAGACTGCTAACTATGCTTATGTGTTAAAGGAAAATTTACCCTCGTGTTAAATAATATAAAATCCCCAAGTCTCATAGATTGGTGGGCATTGTGGAGCTTGCGGATTAAAATATAAGGCCCCACTGACTGATGGAAATGTAGGAACTCTGTATAGTCAGCCGTCTTTACCCCTAGGTTCTGCATCCATGAATTCAACCAACCTCAGAGGGAAAATATTCAAGAAAAAAAGGGATTGAGTCTGAACTGAACAAGTACAGACTTAAAAAAAAAATCATGATTCCCTAGACTGCAGACTGTGCCAACTATTTACATAGCATTTACATTGGGTTAGGTCTTCTAAGTAATCTGGAGATGATTTAAAGTGAGCAGGAGAATGTGCATACGTTATATGCAAACACTGTACCATTTTACATCAGGTCCCGGCATCCCTTGACTTTGGTGTCTACAGGGTCCTAGAACTAATGTGCCAGGGATAGCAAGAGATGACTGTATTCTGTTACTCTTTTCTGTATCTCAGATGATTTCAAAATAAGTTTTTAAAAAGGCTTTTACTTCTTCAAGCTTTGTCTTACAGGTAGAACCTATAAAGGTGAACATTTTTTTATGGATAAAGAGTACAATGATGTAAATATTTCTTGTCCTGTGTTTCTTTTCTATTCCTATGGTTTCTTTCCTTCCTTCCTTCCTTCCTCTCCACCTGCTTCCTCTCTCCTTCTGCCTCCCCAGTATGGATGCAAAAAGGAGCAGCATTAAAGGGAAGAATGTAAAGTGATTGATGCCTGACATTTTCATGAAAGAGAAGGACCAGTGATCACATGTGTGTTATACTTTTTAGTAGAAAATTGGCACATGTGTGTTATACTTTTTGGTAGAAAATTGGCACGTGTTTTTGTGCTTTTGGGCCTGTGGAAAGTAATTACTTTAAAATTAAAAAGGATTTAAAAAGTGTTACAGCCTGTGGAGTTTGAGAGGGGTCCTGTTGTGTGCTCTGACATTAGCAACCCTGTGACCTTGGACAATTAGTCTAACGATTTGATGGTCTCACCTTTATATGGTAGATTAAAGAGCATACTCCTGTAGAATTGTTGGGCAGATTATAAGAGCAAATACTTGTAAAATGCTTAATGTTGTACCTAATGTGCAGTAGCTTCTCATTGGCTACTGTGGACTTGTTTGAAATTATTCATCTTTAGTCATCTTTGTATGTCATTGCCATGGACTCTTACAAAATGGTTAGAGATATGCAATGAATAAAGAGACTCTCAAAATGATGCCGACTACAGTTTCACTGTGGATCGTGCCTGAGGTTGTTCCTTGTATCTGTTTTAGAATTTATAATAACACGTTTCTACTAAAAATGCAAAAATTAGCTGGGCATGGGGGCGTGCACCTGTAGTCCCAGCTACTCGGGAGGCTGAGGCAGGAGAATTGCTTGAACGCAGGAGGCGGAGGTTGCGGTGAGCCGAGATTGCGCCATTGCACTCCAGCCTGGGTAACAAGAGCGAAACTCCGTCTCAAAAAAAAAAAAAGAAACACATTCTGAGTGGTGAGGATGGTCAAATATATATGGAGCATTTTACATATGCGCTTGTTAATCCTCACAGCTCCCCTGTTTCATACTGTTACTCTGATTTTACAGATAAGAGTTGAGTTTGACAAGATTAAATGACTTGCTGAGGGCACCGGCGAAGCCCACCTTCAAACGCAAGCTTGGGCCCTTAATCACCGTAGCAAATCGTATCTCCTTTACTGCTGTAGAAGCGAGTCTGTGCCTCCTGTCTCGGTTGCAAGAGTTTCTTTTCACTATGATGAAATTCACAAAAATTCTCTTACTCAAACTTCTTAGTTATTGCTTTTGATGAGAATATTTAAATCAACATGGGATCCAAGTCAATGTATAGGGAGACAGTTAAGCGTTTTCCTTGATCCTTTTGTAGTTCGTGAGCATGATGATCGCGTGTTCACACGCTTCTGTGAGATGCGACGCGCTTGAACCTTGTTACCATGTCGGCACATTACCCATCTGACCTGGAAAAAAAAAAAAAAAGGAGTTTTCCTGTAAGTCAAGGGTGTTTTTGAAAAGAGAGCTCAGATATCATATTATATATGATAAAGTAGAATACATCATGAGCAAAATGTTTTAATTTAAATTTAGTGCATTTTATCTTGGAATATTGCCCGTTATTTTATTTATTTATTTGTTTGTTTATTTTGAGACGGAGTTTCGCTCTTGTTACCCAGGCCTGAGTGCAATGGCGCGATCTCGGCTCACCGCAACCTCCGCCTCCTGGGTTCAGGCAATTCTCCTGCCTCAGCCTCCTGAGTAGCTGGGATTACAGGCACGTGCCACCGTGCCCGGCTAATTTTTGTATTTTTAGTAGAGACGGGGTTTCACCATGTTGACCAGGATGGTCTTGATCTCTTGACCTCGTGATCCACCCGCCTCGGCCTCCCAAAGTGCTGGGATTACAGGCTTGAGCCACTGCGCCCGGCCTGTCCGTTATTTTTTAACTGATAGCAATATATTTTGATGCTCAAATAGAAAGCATTTTGTATGCACTGTTGAAAAAACGATGATTCTCTGAAGAGAATACTTGCCTGTATTACTGAAGAACAGTTCGTACATCTAAACTTAGTCGTGCGATCGTTTTTTACTTGCACTTCAAACCCTTTTTCCACGTGATATCCTCTAAAATGTTTTCTTTTCTTTCTTCAGGACCTTTTTCTACATTATTTGGGCCATTCTTCAGCCAAGTTGCTAAGCAGAAATCTATAAAGAAGTAGTTTAATCAAATACGTTCCTCACATTGTTTTAAAGATATGTATATTGTGTCCTGCTGCAGGGCTTTACTTCTCTGATTTTTAAAATATTGATGGATGTGTACAAGGCTTTCATTCTTTTTTTTTTTTTTTTTTTTTTTTTTTTTTTTGAGACAGGGTCTTGCTCTGTTGCCCAGGCTGGAGTGCGGTGGCGCCATCTCGGTTCACTGCAGACTCGACCTCCTGGGTCCAAGTAGTCATCCTGACTCAGCCCCACATAGCTGGGATGACAGGTGTTTGCTACTATGCCAGCTCATTTGGTATTTGTAGTAGAGAGGAAGTGTCATCATGTTGCTCAAGCTGGTCGTGAACTCCTGAGCTCAAGCAATCTGCCTGCCCGAGCCTCCCAGAGTGCCAGGGTTATAGGCATGAGCCACTGCAACCGCCCAGAGTGCCAGGGTTATAGGCATGAGCCACTGCAACCGCGCAAGGCTTTCATTCTTTCCCTGTAGAGAATTTATAAGTATACGATAAACAGGAAAATAAACATTAACATGGATTCATGGTTCAAGCTGGCCAATGTTTTCTCCTAATACTAGGTTCTCAACTCTGTGAACAAGGAGTTGTACCACTTTTCTCTTTGGGCTTATGAAACGTCTAGAATAATTAATTAAGAAAAGGAAAAATATTTTTAAGTCAAAGGATTTCCCTCATCTATTTCAGCATAAATCTCTACAGTGCCATAATCCATGCAACCTCAGCATCAAGTCAGATTTTTTTTATTGCCTGAAAACTGCGAAGTGAATACATTTATATATAGAATTAAAATAATGGCCGCAAACATGATTGAGCATTTAAACTAGTTATATGCAATATTACTACTCGAAATAGAAATAAAATGATTCCCACAACCTGGTTTGTGCCAACATTTTGGTTATTTAAATGAAGTAAAACTTTCTGTTTACTTCACTAGACGTGATGTGACATTATTCATAGAGTGAAGTAGTGAAATTCTGTTTGCCTATTTGCCTACCAAATCATACCAAGAGTTGCTTTCTGTTCATTTAATGAGTATTTATTTAAAAATGAAGCTATTTTGTAGTGATTGTAAATACCAAATGATCATTCCAGACTACTTTACAAAATTCAACTTACTTTGCTGCCGTGGTCATGAAATCAACAGAGGGTGCTGGGTTTTGAGAACATAACAGTAACAGAAGTGATTGCATTATGCTCTCAGTCTATCGAATTTAGCACAGGAAGCTGTCATTACTCCCGTCTCATGCTAAATAACACCTCACTTTCTGCACTGCATCCTGATATGATATGTCATATATGTAGACTCATTCCGATTTCTACAAACTCTGTATTTGTTAAGCTTTCCAATTCATTTGAATGAACTTTGAAGCACTGGGGAATACAGTTGTTCATTAATTTACAAATGCTACTTCACAGAGCAATATTAATTCAAAAGATAATCACATACGTTTTGTGAGGCATTATCGCCTCACCACGTATAATACCTTAACTTATTCTGTATGAGTTACTGTTAGTAGTTTGGTACTTCCTGTTGAATCATGTGTCTGACTCCATCCCAAATGGCAGATTTTCAGTTTATAGATTAGCAGGTCTCGGAAAGAATTAGGGTTCAGCTGAACGCTGCTGATCACTTCCAACTTCTTTTTATCATCCAAAATGTGTCACTTAAGGTGTGAATCCCACAATCATGTAGAAAAACACATTTAGTCCAAAAGATGTCCAATGTGGTTAGACTTTAAAGGAGCCATTGGAATGAATCTCCTTTCCCTAGAAAACTCTTCTGCTAGGATATATGGCTATGACTTCATCATTTTATTCATGATAATTCAAATGTCCCTTGCCAGAAATACCTTTCCTGAAGTAGTCCTCCCCAAAAATGTTTGTTTATAGTCTGTCTTCCTCACTAGAGTGATATCAGGTCAGGGACGTTCCCTGCTTGGTTCATTCAGAGCAGGTCTGGCAAAGGGAATGCATGTGTATTTGTCTATGGAATACATGACTAAAAAATGAATGACAGTAGAGGGAAAAAGAACTTTTAACATCATCCAGTCTATCCAGTTTATATCAAGGAAACTAAGACTGTATATAAAGGAAACTAATGGTTGAGTTCCGCAATATTCTGTACCATGGATTGAGGAAAGAAATACCAGACACAGTTCAGTCCTTCTGGACACTTTTGGGACATTCACTCTTGCCAATAGAAGATGGTTAAGAAGTGTGGTTTGGGAGCTGGACAGACACGATTTTGGGTAGAGTTTGAATTTTAGATGTATCACCTACTAGCTGTGTCCCTTTGTGAAAGATACTTAATCCCCCTAAGTCATTCTCTTCAACTGTAAATGGAGATGATGCATATCCACTGGATCACTGTGAAGCCCAAATGAGATCATGTATCACAGAGTCTCGCACAAGGAAACTGTTACAGCCGTCATAATTATCACCCTGATCGTTTAGTCCTTATCATATACACTGTATAGGCCTTTAATCTATTATCTTCTACAGTATCACCATAGTATCTTTCCCCAAACTTAATGTATTTAGAACTCCTTAGTTCACCAGAGATGATACATGAAGTTTATGAGGTTGTTACGCTAGTTTAGAATACTAGATAATACTAATAAGAAATCTGGTTTCTGTACTCATTTATAATGCCAATTAATGTTAAATATTCACCAATCTTGTGCTTCTGATGCCCAGACCTAACAGATATTCCACAGAAGGACTATACTTTTATCTGTAATAGATTTTTGATATAAGAAGGTTCCAAATTCAGCTATAGAGGTTGAAACTCTGTGGAAAAAAATAATTCAAGATAAAATGCTTTTGTCTCCTCCTCTTTGATTTTCTAACCACAATAGAAAAATTCCATCAGTCAGAAACCATTCAGGAGAAGACATGGGTAATATCCTAGACATATAAATTATATAGATGCACATTGATCATTCTCTATTGTATAGAGTCATCTAATTTGAATTTCTATTTTTTGAGACTAAAGTCAGATGTAATAGTATTATTAAAAAACCAAAGTTTCCCAGATGCATATTATTAGGTCATAACTACTGTATCAATACATTTCTCTGTATAATAGTTTTGCTTATTTTAGGTACTAATTTTAAAATATACATCATTTTTTATATTCATTAGAATTTATAAACCATCCTAACGTACATCGTTGTTAAATTGTAGTTTTCAAATGTAGTAGAATCTTTAATTTACTGTTAGAATTAGAAAATATGAATCAATTGCTTAGCCTAAACTTTTTTGTTGGAGAAGAAAATGCCATGACAACTGATTGTCTTCAGAACCATCTAGGGCTGATTGATTCATAATCTAAATGTAGGGACTGTTCGTATTAGAATCTGAGAACGATTTCACACTGCTTTCATTTTGTTAATCCAGCAAAAGAAGTACTAGTTATATCTGGGCAAGTGGATGTTAAACTTTATGAATGCCAGACTGGATTATAGTTTCCTCACTGGTACAGTTAGCTTAGTGATTTCTAAAATCTCTTTTCCTTTATTTTCCCTTTTCTTCTCCTGTTACTCTGTTGTCATCCTGCACACAGATAAATGTGTGTATCTACATGTAACATGTATACACAATCCAGTTCATGTATCTGAAAAAACTATTCACTCCAGACCACAGGGAGCATGTCTTAGTTTTTTTAATCTGAAATATTGGAGTCTGATACATCTTAGACTTTAAGTGAATATTTCTTGAAAAATTTTTCAAATATCTCTTCATCTATTAAAGAGATCATGTTCTTCTAAGACTATATTAATTTTCTATTGCTGTTATTACAAATCACTGTAAACTTTAATGGCATTAAAAGCACAAATTTATTAATTTTATAATTCAATATAACGACACAGACCTGTGGGTCAGAGGTCTGACATGGACCACACGGTGCTAAAATCAAGGTTTTGGCACAGTTGCATTCCTTTCTCAAGTATCTGAGAGGGATCTGTTTCCTTGCCTTTTCTCACTTCTAGAGGCTGCCCAAGTTCCTCGGCTTGTGATCCTCTTTGTCCACTTTCAAAGCTGGCAAAGGTGAGTTGATTCCTTCTCACATCACATCACCATAATTTCTGCCATCTTCACATCTCTAATAACTCTGGTCCTCCTGCCTCTTCTTATAAGTGCCTTATGGTAACATTGGGCCCACCCAGATAATCAGGATCATCGCTCTAACTCAACGTTCTTAATCATATCTGCCAAGTCACTTTTGCC